TTCTTGCTGATTGGCTGTTGGGATTTAACTTGATTAACACCTGCACAGAGTATTTCCATACTGACAGTATGTCTTTATTCAAGTGTTTTGGTAGGTATTTCAAGCTTTTCTGCTCCAGCATTGGAATGCGGGGCATGTAACGTTTTTTTTTTATTTTGAAAATCAACAGTTTGCATTATGCAATTAAAAATCCTAACCAATAAAGTAGGGAATAGCTATCCAACTGTTGTTTTAGTTGTATGTTACTTCATATTATAGTTATATCAATGTAAATCATTGTTTTCCCTTGTGTTTCTCATTCTTTCCCTGCCATGTGGTAAAATGTGGTGAACCCATCGCTGTATTTGCTCCAAAGCAAATATTGGCCTTTCTAGTTAATAATACGTTCTCTGTCCCCCCCCCCCCAGCTGACTCGTACCGTGTGGGGCAGGACATGGAGGTTGTGTTCGAGTTCAGGACCAACCAGCGAGAAGCCGTCCTCCTCACCGTGTCATCCGCAAGGGCCGACGCTCTCGCCATTGAACTCAAGGATGGCAAAGTACCTTTGACTTTATATATTACTTAGCTTATGTGGATTCACAATTAGCTTCATAATATTACACCGATATTGGTACATGAAGTTACATACAAATTTCGAGACAGGATGACCACTTCTTTAGAAGGACATTCAAAAAAAGACTACCAGGTCCTAAAGATTTTTATGCAGCTAGTTCTTATGACACTCCACCTCAGGTTTGAGCCAAATAAAACAAAGGAAAAGGAAGAGAATTTTCTTTATTTAGCCACAAAGTTTGTATGTAAAAAGGTAGTGGTGTAAGGCACTGTTGTTTTCGATGCTTACAAGAACAGCTTGCCCTGTTGTGTGTACTTCACCGTTGTGATAGTGCTTTATACACATGAGTCCAGCACGTGCAACATGTGAAGCATTGCAAATGTCCCTGACAACCTTACATATACATGTACATGTACATCACTGTCCAGCATTCTGTTGCAATTGCTTTTATTGCTCTGCTTCAGTGTATAACATATTCATCGAAGACATTTCAAACATGTCAGACAGCTAGCCAAGCAATAGCCTGGGTACCAGAGTTCAATACGTCTGCTATGATAGTCACAACCCTCTAGCAGTGGTGACTATTGGAGGAGATGTAAGCTAACATGTCTGGTACTCAGGCTATAGCTAGCCATGCAGGCAAACCTTTGTGCACATCTGTGGCTGTTACTAGTACTGTAAATCATGGCAATTTTGCAGTGGCTTTATTTTCGAGGTGACATCTCCACCGTGAATTTAATTTAAGACACCCTGAATGTGTCCCCTTGTTTAACAGAATCCTTTGGGCTGCAAATTCGAAAAAGCTCCCAAGCTTTCCAAGAAATAAAACCACTGTGAAAGTAAACATGTTTACAGTATGTGAACCTAACAGGAATTTTAGTAAAATTTTGAACGTTATTCCAACACAAGGAAAACTTAAGTAAAACAATCACTGTTGCCTTCATCAGGATAATTAATGACCAATCACCTCAAAATGTAACTCGCGAGAGTTGTGGTTACAGACACGTGACCTTATTCACACCTTTTGAAGTGATTGGTCATTAATTATCCTGATGAAGGTGACAGTGGTCATTGAAAATTTGATCTCTGTGTAAACCTCATGTTCAACATTTTACTATGATTACTACCAACACAGATAAATTTTCATGCTACTGGAATTTCTTCTTGTGCTTTTTTTCTCTCTCCTCTCGTCTCTCTGTAGATCACTCTGCGTGCTAACAATGGTCCAGGAGCATTCCAGCCTTCCGATGTACATTCTACATCTCTCTTTCTCGTTCGTTTCACCCCCTGCATGGAAAACTTTCCAAACATTCCCCATAACTAGTGCTGTGTACCTAAACCCACATTTAGGTTCAGGTCCGGGTTCAAGTCCACAGGTTTAGGTTCAGTTCTGGACTCGTAAGTCCAGACCTAAACCCATGGCATATACAAAATTGCATGTTGGCAACCTTGCAATGTCGTTCGAGCAAAACTGTGGCCACACACATGGAGGCCAGTACTTGACAATGCCCAATGGCAATGATTTGCAGCAAAGATTTTGCAATCTACGGATGGTTTTAGGTGGTTTGGAAAGAAAAGGGGTATGTGAAATGTTGTTATAAGTCCGGACTCGGTTCTTGACTTTAGTTTTTTTTGGACTTGAACCTAAACATTTTTCCAAGTCCAGTGAACCGGTACACAGCACTACCCATAACCATTTATCCCCTGCAGGGCTGTCTCCAGGACCTGTCCCTTCGCCCCTGGAAAGAAATTTGCTTGTTGGGTGGGACAGACAAAAACTTTCACCTTGTCCATAAAATTGGAGGCTTAAAGTTTTGGATTTGACAACAAAAATTGCTTTTACTCGATGACAATTTACGTCTGAAAAAGTGGGTTGGAATTTCCAGTACTCCTTAGTTTTGTTAGCATTCACTGCTCTGCCTCCAATGCTCAAATTTGGGACAGATAGAAATTGAAGCGCTGGAGACACAAAAATTAAATCTGGAGACGGCACCTATCAGTTCTACTCTAATTTACAGCCTGCGATGACTCTAAAGATTCTGGTTCTGGTGACCTTGACTTGTACTTTGACCTTTGCTTGCTTTATCCTTGTATCAAACACGTTCACAGTCGACCAGAAAAAAATCAACAAAGTTCTCTATATCCAACTTCCCTTCTCCCTGTTTCTGTTGTACAAAATGGTATTTTGCAACTTTGAAAAGGAAAAAAAAGGCCAGAAATGTGAATATGGCTGGAAAAGACTTTCTTTGGCTTTTTGCCGGAGAGTAGCCATCTTTGCTGTGGCATGCTGGGTAATCTTCCTAAGGAGGAAGAAGGAGTCTTGAACATCAGTCTGTAGTTGGTTGTTTTCTCTTGCATCGTTTTGTGTGTTTCGAGTGTTTTAGCCCCTGTATTAGGCTGTAACACATTCAGGGCATCCCCATTGCTTTTTACCAGCAAGTTGGCAGAACGCACTGCACTTTGACAGAACGTCTCATATAAGGTCGTGCTAGCACATATAAGGTGAGCATTCCGTCTGTAGTTTCCAAATGTTATGTAGGAAAAGATATCCTTTGCAACAGGCAAAATTCTGATGCAACGTTGACCAAAAATCCACCGAAAATCGTGAAAATACAGGGTTCTGCGCAGGCGCAGTATGTTTTGCCGACATGCTATTTTCACCCAACCTCTCCCCAACAAGTTCTGTTTTGCTGCCCTGAAATCGCATTGGATGCCTTTTGAGTGGATGAAAATCACCACCATAATGTTTGAAAATTAGTGTTTGACGAGCTGTATTTATTCCCTTCCTTTCAGATCACATTCCGCGCTGACAACGGTCCGGCTCCGTTTGAGGTGACCTATGACCCTGAAGTCCATGACCCCCAGGGAAGCAAGTTCAGCCTCTGTGACAGGAAGTTCCACAAAGTCGAGGTGTGTTTGTTTGTTTGTTTGTTTGTTCATCTATTCAGGTGTGTTAATGACTTTTATTTACATGAGGGCCTGCATACGGTACCCTTTTTCGTAAGATCCACTTAAACATTTTTCCCCATGGCCTAAGGCCACACCAATTTGATTTGTTGGTTCTCAGATTTTTTAAGAAAAATATGAAGCAACATGGCGAAAAAAATGAAAATAAAAACAGACCAAGGCATCTATGGTAGCCCCAAATGGCATGGTAAGAGCCATGAAGTCAACATACCAGGCTTGTTAGTAAATCAAACATAAAGTTTCAAACCTTTAATCAAACCACTGCATTGATGGATGGAAAACTGTAAAAACTCTGAAGAGAAGGACCTCCTTTAACTGTTGGGACCAAATATTAGCATTTTGGAGTTGATTCAGAGGCTGAAAATGTGAACTGTTTTTTTTTTTTTGAAAATCATAAAAAAAATGAAGCGGGCGAATCTGTAAGCCAACAAATTAAATTGGTGTGGCCTAACATAAGAATCTTTGCTCCTGCAGGCCCGTAAGGTGAAGAACATACTTGAGATCATGGTGGATGGAAACGCAGTTCCTCCTGCCACCAGCCAGCAAGCCTCCACCTCAGCCGATACAAACGACCCGCTCTACGTCGGAGGATACCCAGGTATTTATGTGTATTTTACGCTGATGAAGGTTAGACATCCAGGTAAACAATACTGAGTAACTCATAGGAAATTCAAACTCTACTACTGGATAAATTACGGAGATAATATCTCATCTTGCTCATATATGCTTTATCGAGTTCTGTTAGTTTATGAGTGACGCGGAAGTATAGTGGTGGATGTCACTTCAATCGTCCGGATATTATCTCCGTAATTTATCCAGCAGTAAAGTTTGAATTTCCTATGATTATAAAAGTTATGTATTATGTTTAAAACATATTATTTTCGCTGTTTCTTCCTCTTCTTCTCCAAACAAATAAAGTCAATGACCTGGACTACACGCGGGTTGCAGACCGGAAGACCTGCCCAGGGCTAGGGAGGATAGGGAGGGCTGGCGGAAGAGAGAGTCACAAGCATCCGTGAAACTCTCAGGACCAGATGATGATGTATAAATTATGTATGTAACAAAGTTTCGACGTTTACCTTTTCCCCAGACACGGCCCTTCAGCAGAAGGCTGCCACCACGGACGTGAATTTCCGTGGCTGCCTGCGAAACCTGAGCATCAACGGGAAGCCGTACAGCGTGGGCGCCGCGCTGACACTGGTCGGTGTGCAGCCCAACACCTGCCCTGCCAAGTGAAGAAAGACCCTCAACAAGCGAAATTCGGGCAGCCTCACACATTTAGCCAGTTTTTGGACATAAAGACTCACTGCACTATCAAATAAATTAAAGCTAGAGGTGGTCATATTTGCAAACTTAAGTCTCATCCATTGGCCATGTTTCGTTATACAATGCAAGAAGTTTGGACTGAAATTTGCCACAGGTAGTTTGCTTAAAAAAAACACTTATAAGTTATGGAGCTGAAGACTAAAGGATGAGATTGACCAAATTCAGAATTTAGCTAAGCTGAGAATAACAAAATGTGTGAGGCTTCAGTGCAACCACACGAAGTGGCCAATACAATGCTATAAGTGAGCAGATTTACCAAATATCGCCGCCTCAGCTGTAGTCTTGACGATACTATAGAAAAAAGACCCTGTCCAAGCTTACTTAAGAATTGCTAGATGTGTGAGGTTGTCATGTACAACACTTTGATGATCTGCAGAAATCAGTGATCATGTCATGTTTTTGCTCAAATCATTTGTCAACTTCCCCGAATCTTACCCCCTTGTGTACATGTTGTTTAGAAAAAAAAAACATGGGTGCAGCTGAGAAAACTTGCTAAGAAAAATAAAAACGATTTTTTTTTAAAAAGGCTCATGTTAAAACCCAACTGTATAGCTGTGTCCGAGGTATGTACACTATCTAAAACAGACCTCAAACTACTTGTTTTTTTTTTACATAAGTGCCTTGGACACAGATTTTGCAGTTGTTCTTGACAATCTACAGTACATGCCAATCGTGTAAGCAATATAATCAACAAGCACCCATCTGTGTGTTTGTGTGTGTGTATTCCTTGTCCCCCACCCCACCCCTAAAACCCCTTTCCCCCTGTCTCCTTCCCTTGACCCCCCCCCCTCCCATTTGTATACCCTGACTTGATTTCTGCAGAATATCAGAAAAGCTACGAGTGTTTTCCTGGACCATTGAAGCACTCGCGTGTAGCTTGACGAAAATGCAGTGGTCCACAAGAGGCACCTCACAATAGAAAGGTCCACAACTGTTAAAACTTGTCCATGAACAGACTTGGTGTTTAAAGCATTTTTGTTCATGAATGAACTTTTGCAAGGGTCCTATATATCTGTGAGCCTGACTTAAGTCTGCTCAGAAATATCACTAGATATAGATTTTATCTGCTCTCAAGTTTTTGTTACTGTAGCAAAGGCTTGTAGCATTGAAATCTATCTTCAATGTAATATTTTTGATCAGTTCTTACATTTTTTTATTGTACCAAGTATATGCATGTTCCTCAGTCTCTACATTACTTTCATGATGTCGGGTAGATGTTCAATGGTTAGTTTTAACAACCAACAGACCATATGTCTTTAAGTTACCTTTTAAGTGATTTGGAACATGTATATGTTTGTGAGATCTCTGCACTCCAAGGTTGACAAAACTTGTCTTGTTTTACTAAATTTGTGTTAAAGTTTAAGCCTGTGAAGGTTCAAACTTCACTTCAGAGACACCACAGTCAGTTTTTTTGTAAACTGGCTGACACAATATGCCAGATTGTCATTTTATATCTACTAGCAACAAAAACATTTGCATCAGAAGCAGATTTCTTGACCAAGGAGTACAGAATCATATGCTTGCCTTAGTAGGTTATCTCCTGTGTTTTTAGCTGTCCATGTTCCAACGTTTTCTCAGTGTGCCTTGTGAGAATCTTGGTGCCATGGATTTTTAGTACCCCTTTGTATTGTTTTGTAGTGCATGCTTATTCAGTTATACACGTACAAATGTATACTGTGATTTGGTGCCACCATTCACACTCAATTCCACACATCAGTCAACTTCTGTAGCATTTCAGTCGAAACTTCTCACAGTATTAAGAGACAAACTAAAACAGTACTACTTTCATACCTCCGTCTTAAGAAAAACAACCACTTGCTCCTGCGGCAAAGGTACTTAAACTTGACCGTGCCAAAGACGTCTTCACACCGGTGAAGGTCACCTTGTAGTTTGTTACTTAAAGCCGTAGCGCCAAGACGACTGCTGCATCACTAGACCATTGCTGCCATTCTGTTTGACCAACAAGACAGTTGCCAAGAAACAAAGCATTTTCAAACATACAGCACACATTATTAACAACACCGCTAGCCATCCTTTGTAACAGTTAAAAAGTTTATTCTATAGTTTATTCTATGGTGTCCACGTTCAAGGTCCAAGGTTATTTACATTTCCTTGTCTTGCAGAATGGCACAGTGGTGAATGCACGCTTGTCTTGAAAGATTTTATTTCTGTAACCCTCCCACCTTAAGAGTGCTTTAGTAGTACAACGTCTGTGTCAAAGAATTGGAGACTTTTTTTAAAAGTACCATTGTTTTTTTAAGTTCTTTGCCACAATTGTGGTTTGTTTAGTGCAAATAAAGTTTTTGAACCCCAACACAATATATGTTGCTTTTTCTTTTGTCTTCAATTGAGGTGGATGATGATGCCTTTTCAAATAGCTAGCCTTAATCTCCAAGCAGATCCCTTTCGGTGGCAAAAAGACAGTATCAAATTAACCAGAGAAGGTCCGCGGCCACCGTCGGTGGGGGTAGCGACCAAAAAAACGGGCCATATAAACGATAATTCCCCCCCAACCTCTGCTTGGAGAGTAGCTAGCCTAGTTTTATGTAGCATCGCTACAGCGTTTATGGCGAAGCACGTCGGGGTTACCCCTACTGTTTTCGATAAGTGTGCGGATCTCTTTTACGTGCGGAGGTTTACAAATACATGTTTGAGGGACCATATTTACATTGTACATGTTCATGTACGTACAGTAACATGTAAGTATGGTGGGGTCGTGTGGCGTAGCGGCAGAGTGTTCGGCACAGAACCAAGAGGTCCCGGGTTCGAGTCCTACCTTGTCACCGACCTTGTGCCCTTGGGAAATGCACTATACACGACTTTCCTCTAGCGAAAATGAGTTCCTAGCTTCGATTAGGGACGCCCATCGGATAGGACGTACATTATGTAAAATGATGGAGGTCCCGTGTTTGGGGAGAGCCACACCCCGCGCACGTTAAAGAACCCACCACACCTTTCGAAAAAGAGTAACGCAGGCGTCTTTGATGTATTTCAAGAGACTGAAGCACACATGTACCTCAACACATTAGTATGCAAAGCCCATAGCCTAGCCTTGACTACGTGTAAGGGGGAGGGTTTCGATGTGTTGGAGGATATGTGTGGGCGTCTGTTGCAGTGTAGAAAGTGCATTGTCACTGTCACAACTGGTGTGCTTGTGAACCGTCTGGTGAGTTGGCAAGTTACATGTATTATGCCGAAAAATAGTGGAGATGCTTCTACATAGGGTTTGTATATCTGCGATTCATAGATACAACATGGCCATACGGGGTTGGCATATGCCGCAACGTTGATGTTATTTCTCAGTTTCAGTGTGTTTGTGGCTGTTGTATTCCAAGAAACTTGCTGGAGCATAGATCAGCACATTAGTATGCAGAGCTGGGCATAGCATTAGTCTTGGCTACGTGTAAGGGGAAGGTTTCGATGTGCTGGAGGGTATATATGTGGGAGAATGTAAGAAGTACATTGTCACTGTCACAACAGTTAACTGGTGTGCCTTGTGAACCGTCTGGTGAGTTGGTAAGTTATTATGCCGAATAATAGTGGGCATGCTTGTATAGCTGTGTTTCTATCTGCGATTTATAGATACAGCACAGCCATAGGGGCTTGGCTTTTCCGCAACCTGGATGTTATCTCTCAGTGTAGACATTTCTTGCTTTCATGTATGATGTCATGGTAGTTTTTGTGTTGTTTTACTGGTGTTCCAATTGTCATTCGGAGTCCTGTGTTCAAGATGAACCCCCGGGACCAACAAATATGTCCATCCATAGCAAATGGTTCTGCTCTTTGCCTAGTCAACACCAGACTGACAACGCGGCTTCAAACAATAGTAGAGCAAATCAGAAACCAAATGGTGATTTGGGGCCTGAAAAATTCGTCTGAAGCAGAGTCTAACAACTTAATTGCAATGTCCTAGGGTAAACCAAGACTAAATTCGAGTGGGATTTTTGACTGATGTATTCCAAGAAACTTGCTGGAGCATAGTTCAGCACATTAGTATGCAAGGCAGCTGGGCATACTAGTAGCCTTGGGGTTGACCAAGGTTTCGATGTGTAAGAAGTGCAGTGTCACTGTCACAACTGGTGTGCTTGTGGACCGTCTGGTGAGTTGGTGAGTTATTATGCCGAAAAATATATGCTTCTACATAGGGTCTCTATCTGCGATTCATAGACACAACACAGCTATAGGGGCTGGGATTTGCCGCAACATGGATGCTATTTCTCAGTTTCAGTGTGTCTGTGGCTGGAGATTTGCGATCAGCACATTAGTATGTAAGGCTGGGTATAGCCACATCCTTAACTACGTACATGTATAGGGGTGAGGTTTCGTTGTGTTGGAGGATATGTGTAGGAATCTATTGGAGTGTAGAAAGTCCAGTGTCACTGTCACAACTGGTGAGCTTGTGAACCGTCCGGTGAGTTCGTAAGTTATTATGCCGAATAATAGTGGACATGCTTGTATACCTGTGTTTCTATCTGCGATTTATAGATACAGCACAGCCATTGGAGCTTGGCTTTGCCACTACATCGATGTTATTTATCAGTTTCAGTGTGTCTGTGGCTGGAGTATAGATCAGCACATCAGTATGCAAGGATGGGCAGGGCCTTAGGGTTGACCAAGGTTTCGGTGTTGGTTTCGATGTGTAAGAAGTGCAGTGTCATAGTCACAACTGGTGTGCTTGTGACCGTCGGGTGTGTCTGTGGCTGGTGTATTCCAAGAAACTTACTGGAGTATAGGTGAGCACATCAGTATGCAAGGCCGGGCATAGCCTTAGTCTTGCCCAAGGTTTCGGTGTTGGTTTCGATGTGTAAGAAGTACTGTGTCACTGTCACAAGTGCTGTGTTGTGAACCGTCTGCTGAGTTCGTAAGTTATTATGCCGAAAAATATATGCTTCTACATTGGGTCTCTATCTGCGATTTATAGATACAACACAGTCATACGGGGTTGGCTTCGCCGCAACATTGATGTTATTTCCCACTTTCATTGTGTCTGTGGCTGGAGTATAGATCAGCACATTAGTATGTAAGGCTGGGCATATACTAGTAGCCTCAGGGTTAGGGGGGGGGCGGTTTCGTTGTGTTGGAGGGCATATGTGTGGCTGCAGTGTAAGAAGTGCAGTGTCACTGTCTCAACTGGTGTGCTTGTGAACCGTCTGGTGAGTTGGTAAGTTATTACGCCGAAAAATAGTGGAGATGCTTCCACATTGGGTCTCTATCTGCGATTCATAGATACAACACAGCCATACGGGGTTGGATTTGGCACAGGATTGATGTAATTGTGTCTCAATGTCAGTTATGCCACCTCCTGCGATATAGTTGAGCTCTCACATTTACTCGAGAACAATGTTAATCAACTATGTGCGAACGATCTTCGAAATGAGTGACCAGAAAGTCATAATAAAAGAAGATAAAAATGCAGCATTTTCTACGATTATCTATATAGCTATTGAGAGGTTACATCTACTATGAATGCCGAGCTGTTCGTTGCGAAACGGCACTCTTTGGCCAAGCTGGATCATGAAAAATCTAACCCATTTACTTTACGTTTTGTCAGTCTTTTTTATTATGATAATTCCGTTTCTTTTATTAGAATATTCCTGAACAATGAATGCCCAGAAGAAGATGATGGAAGCTGCCTTCGCAGCTGGAACAAGCGCCGGTGGTGCAACAGGTAATAACAGGAAAAATCTGATTATTCCGTCTACTTTGGCACGTGTTATTTTCGTAGAAACTATTGAATAGAGTAGAGTAGAGTAGAGTAGAGTAGAGTAGAGTAGAGTAGAGTAGAGTAGATCTTTCGTCTCGGTAGGAAGTTCTCTTCCACTTTGAGCCGCTCCTTGTAGTTTACTGCGTAGACATGGTCATCTTGTGGGGGTTGTCCAATGCCCGGGGGTTGTACACTACTGGGTGGCTTCTCATGTGTTTGTCCAGTCTATTTTTAAAACTGTTCACACTTGGGGCTGTTACCACCTCCTCGGGTAGACTATTCCACTAGTCTCCACCAGACTTCTTTTGCGGGGTGAATAAATCGTAGAAATCGGCCTAAAAAGGGTATTAATTGGCCAGAGAAGGTAGCCGGCCAGAGAAGCTCCAGGGCCCTGGAGC